CCACACTGGGGTTGGAAACTTCATGAAATATCAAGAGTCATGTGAACAATATTTGCTGGAGGTACACAAAAAAAAGAGTCAAAGACTTAAAAAATTTTCAGCCCACAAACATTTTAGATTTGTACATGTAAAAAAAGGTTTACTTAAAATAAGACTAGAATCAAAGCAGATTTTAAGTCGAAAACGCCAGAAATGATACCATTCTTGGACTAAGCTGACGTTCGTTCATTAAGCTACGTATAATTTTCCGTGAAAAAATTTCTAACCGTAGTTTGCACAGGTCGTTCTTCTTGCAACAAAAAAAAAATAAGTCACTGCAGATTAGCGTAAGTTATTATTAGAAATTTATTAAATTTTAGTAATCGACTATTAGTTCCAGTCATTTTGAAACTTTTCAAATGCTTGGCGTAGTACGGTTGAAAATTTCTGAAATTTTTTCACGTAGTTAGTGATGACTTCGTTAGTGAACTTGTTTTACACGCATTTCAAACTTCTGCCGAAAAATTTAAATTGTGATTCTCAAAGAGAAATGTAGCTTTCTGAACCAGACTGGGAATGAATACACTACAGCTTCAATAACTGCTGTTCAAGGAACAACAAACAAACGAGATGCAGATACGAAATAACAGATTCAGAGAAAAGAAGTTTCTTGAGTTCACCGGCCTTAAAACAACTGTAACAGTTTTTTTAAAAGGTAAACATTTAATCACATTTTTATGAATAGTGGATTCCATTACTTCCAGAAGATGCAAAAACAATTCATTTGATAGTAGTTCACTCGTTTTTGGGAACTCTTTATTTGGAAAAGTAGCTCGAATAAAAATAGTACATCCTTAGATTACAACAGAATGCTGCGAATATCAATAAGTAGCAAACAGCAGCTGCAGAAAAAACAGAGCTTTTCGTCAATCAAAAAAGTAAGGCTACTGATCGTCAAGCTGGATATGAAATACCAAAAGACAGGAAAGGCAAAAGCAACTACGAACAGATCTAAAAAAACATAGTTTTTTGGGTATTATAATACGGAAGCAACAACAAAATCTCCAATAGAACTGTTGCATTTTGTTAAGATTTTTTCTGCCCATCATTCACCGCGCAACAAAGAAATTTAGAACTGTCACTTTTCAGTGCTCAGCATTTCTTAACACAACAAAAAATGCCAAGCATGTAATCAACAAAAAAGTTGCGTCGACAATAACCAATATGTGAAAATAACCTAGAATTTCCTGAATAGTAAATCCATTTCGTTCAGAAAGCTTACATTATTCAATAATTCCCATATTTTTTTCGTTTTTTCAAGAAGAAAAAATATTATCAAAATTATAACAATTATAATGTGATAACGTCCCTCTAATAATTTAAGATATTTGAATAAAAGATAAAGCAATGCTTACCTTCAACATAGCGGTCTTTGTAATCAACTTGAGGCCTCTAAAATTAAATAACTAATAAATGTTTCCGCAAACAAGAAGGTTTTGCAGAGGAAGCCGTTTCAATATATTTGTATAGGAACTGTCCGCTGACCGAAGAAGAATCCCTAGCTTTTTGTTAGGTAAAACGTAGGTTTTGTTGCTAAGCATCAAATGCACAGTAAACTTAACACAAATCAAATTTTAAATTTTTTTCTGAAGGTACAGTTTTGAAAGTAAATTTTAATTTACTATCACCTTTGTTTTTCCATATTTTTTCAAAATTCACTTGTTCGAAACTGTTTAGCAAAAAACACCTAAAGAAAACCTGCAAAAAACTGTCGCCGTTGACCTCTACACGTTGCGTTGTAGTATTTCTTTTTGTTGAGACAGAAGAACTGAAGTTATTAAAACTTGAGCTTGTACGGACAGTTTCGGTTGTACCACTACTGACAGTACTGATTGATACCAAACTCTTTTGCTTATCGAGCTTATCGAATTCGGTCAACTTAGTAGCTGCCCCATCGCCGTACTCTTCAGTCAAATCAAGATTTGGTTCAGTTTTATTGTAATTTTCATTAATTCTATAAACACCAATTCGTTTCCCAACAGCCACTGTGTAATTACGGTGAGATCGGTGAGATGATACAGCTGGCTTCGAACCCTCATGATTTGGTGGTACTGTTTCGTTTTTTGAGCCGCCTGCAGGAAAGTCAGAAATATTAGTATAATCGTGGTAAAAACCATTTTTTTTTCCATAAGGTTTTGGATTGGCTACTTCCTGCATTCGCTTTTTTATTTCTCGAAAAGATGAAGGAACGGTCACTTCTGCTAAACACTGGACTTAAGTGGTAACTTACTGAAGGCTTATAGTTTGTTCTGCTTTTTTCAAAAGCATGAAATTCAAAAATGAGTCGCTCAGTATTTGTATCGAAAGAACTTGATATACTTGATCTCTTTTAGCTCTTCCGTTTTCTTCATTTGAATATGCGCATTAGAAGGTTTGCTGATTCCAATAACTGTCAGATTATTAAATGTTTCTGACGCTTGAGTTGCACAGTTGTAAGTGAGTTGACATTCTGATAGTAACGTAATAACTTTGCTATTTGAATGTGCACTATGTCCCATTATGTCTTGGCTTCCCTAAATATGTAAACCTCTGTAACACGTAACAGACTAAACCAGCTCCTCATTTGCCGCTCTGGTTTAGTCTGGTGGCCCCATCACGCTGATTGGCTCTGGGTAATTACACTTTTCTTCGTGGGCCCCTCTCACTGGAGTGGAGAAATAATATGGGGCCACCAGACTAAACCAGCTCCATCAATCCTTGTTAATGCTCCGATTGAAAATACTCAAAGACAAATTTATACTAGATGATCTCGTGAAAATAGAAGCAAATATGTTGCTTAACGGTCTTCTGCTCTTTACTGCTTACCAGTTTTGAAAAAAGCTACTCTTCAATTCTATTATGAAACTTGACTAGAGAAGAAGATTTTTAGTCATATTTTGACCTTCGACTGTATCTATTCATAAAAGAAACGAGGTTATAACGTTAACAGAAAATTTTTTTGCTACACGAAAAATTGTCAAATAATCTACAGCAAAGATGGGTAAGCTAGTCATTTGAAAAATATGTTATTCCAGCTATCAACTTATTGAGTAAGAATAAAAGTTGTACTGCTTTAAAAAGTTTTTCTCTTGTGATAAATGAAAAGAACTCTGAAAAGCTTACTGAAAACCTGGAAATTTTGAAGCCCTTAAAAATTGATTAGACGCAGAGATTCCCATTAACCTAAATCGAACTATGAAAAGCTAACTGTAACAGCAGTTTGATAGGAACACTTTCCAAGCATTTTTTTCCATAAACCACACAACAAAATATGCAGGCAGTCATTAATTTTTTTTTTACTAGGTATCTTACTTCAAACCCAATATTATATACAACTTTGATTTATTCTTTCTCTCTTATTTCCAATAATTATTCCCCAAAATTTATCCATTAAATTCTCACTGCCGTTCTTAAAATGAGTTGTATTCTGGTAGAAATACTTGCCCTTTAAAGCTACTACCTTAGCAAACATTATGTTACTTGCTACAAATACTTCTTAAACTTTCGTTTGTATTAATCCGATACACAACACTATCAAAAGATAAAACTATTCTTCCCTATTTTGAAAGCTTCATAGAAAATTAAAATTGCACGAAATGTAATCAAAAACAGCCGCAAACTTGCTTTTTCAAAGAAATCAAGTTCTCCAACTATCAGGTCAAAAAATTAAGACTTGAATTACACGAATTTCAGAACTACTTCACTTCAATATGAAAGATTAACTATTTTCTGTAATAACAGTTTAGTCAACTGCGCTAAGTTTCTTGTAACAGTACCTCTGCTCTCATACAGCTATACAGTATTTATTATCACTACTTAAAAAGAAGAACAAAGAAGATTTATTGAAGTCACTTGAAAAAATATTTTAATAAACGTATCGAAAAAAAAAAATTTTGAGTAAAAGTTTATGTGTTAGTTGTCAAAACCAGTAAAACTCAAAAATGTAAAGCAGAACAAAAGTGAAATTGTCCTAGTTGAGTCATGTAAAATTTCCTGTAATCTGACCACTTAAACAGTTTCAAGTCACTACCTCAAACCTAAAAGCCTCCGACAACCAAAATTTAAAACTATAAAACTGATATTAACAAGTTTAGAAAAGTTGCACAATTTTGTGAGCAAGATCTGAAGTTCTCTTCCTCATTTGTCAAGCAACATATATTTTTATTTAAGTACCGTGAAAATTTTTGACACTCTGACCAGTAAGTGCTTCATTAACGATGGTTTGCTGCTGTTGTCAGTAGTCTCTCAAAAACCAATGACCGTCTCCTAAACGGTTTTCTTCGTATCAGCATTCAAAATTTTAAAGAAATTGAAGAAACTGAACAAATCTCAATCCAACGTATATGACTCATGATCAAGTAGAAGACAAGAAGTCAGGAAGACGAAATGCAGTCAAACATAAGAGAAAACAGGTATGAAATAAAGAAGCAGGCAGAATCAGTAATCAAGAAGGAATCCACCTAAAACCTGTTTAGGACAGAATCTTATGGCAACGAGCAGCTGCACTTGCCTGCACTTCTAATGAAGCATATACGCTTCATTTACCGATTCCTTCTAACACCAAACTACAATTTTTTTTCCCGTTGATTTTTCATAGATAATAAATTCTGCAGACTCAACTCGATGTGGCACTTCAAAAGTTTCTGCATTATCTGCACAGAACAGAAATTTCAATGTATATTTTCACGTATTTATCACTGACCATTACCAGACAAACCAGAAGTTGAAAGTGAAGAAAGTTCTAAAAGGTTTGAATTTCCACTTTTTCAAACCCATAAATCGGTATGATTTTAAATAATTGCAATACTGATAATCTTTAAGAAGTCACCAGCAAACACTAAAAAACTGGTCAATGAATATCACTCAGCAAAATTATGAACAAAATATATGTTTCTTAAACAGTCTTTGTTGTAGCTATTTAACAACAAAAATAACAAAGTAAAATTAGAATCCTTGAAATTATAACTGACCTAAGACGAGTTTTGCTGCAGTCAACAGCAGTGTAAAGAATGTCAGCCGCATTACAAACAGTCACGCTAAGGAGCAGTAAATGTAATTAAGTTAAGTGTGTTTGCTGTCGTTTTACATCATTATACGTTACTGTTAAAAATCATATATTTTCCTTGCATACAGAGCAGTGTGTGATAAGATTGTGCAGAACTGTTAGTGACACTGTTACTTACAGCATTTTTTAGTTCCGCACCTATACTGAAAAAGTATTTAGACTACCTTACGCCAGTTTGCAGACTTTATTCATTTGACATCTTAGGATTTTCTTCTCAATTTCGCTGAGTGATGAAGTCTAGACTCGAGTTTTAAAAACAGAAGAAAAAAATTGGAAAGTGGATTCCCCGCGAAGTTATGCCCCTCGAAACTGTAAAGTTTGCCAAGCAGGTGCTCGACGTACATGATTTCCCAAACTTATAATTTAGTCTTACCTCAATACAGTTCAACAGGTTTTGGTTTATTATACTTAAAGTATTTTTTACCTTTAAGTGAATATAACATCTTATAGCTCGTTTGTTCGCTGAGTAAACGCAACAAAAGTAACGATTTGAAATATATGAAAAGAAAAAAGCATCTTAAAAAAATATTTCGTGCAGGATTTTATATTTTATAATATACCAGAAAATGGTAAGAGTGTTTTTTCATGGTCGCCCGTTGCGAGCTGTGAAAATAGAAAAAATAAAAAAAAAAATAGCGATTTAAAAAAGTCCCAATTATTTTACAGTAGCAAAACCGTCTTCAGCTTCTGGAAACGATAAATAACTATCGAAATCCAGTATTTGTGAAGATAACTTCAAAAAAGTTGCAAATGACAAGAAAATATATTTACGAGTTACTAAGCTGCGGTGCTATAACAAG